CCTGGAGCATTACGTGGCATTTGAAAACTACCACATTTCTCTTCTTTAATAACTCTGTAAATCGTAGATTTCCCAACACCAAGTGTACTGCTAACTAACTCAACGGTGTTCATCAACACTTTCACATAAACGTTTGTCTGTAATGATTTAATGTTTTTCATTAACTGTTAAAGGACCAATTTTTCGGCGTTTACACGGCACTTCCAAATTTTCCATAACACTAGTATACACAATAAACTGCACCTTGCAACTGAAGTACTACTTTAGTGAACTGTTAAGAATTTTGAATACGCCACTTGGACCTTCCTACAAAATGGAAAAACCCACTATCACATTTTCTGTGGAATAAGTTTAGAAGGTAATTATCTAGTCAATTACTGTCGTAGATTCCTGGAATTAAAGAATTAAATGTTTGATTGTTGAAACCCTTACTTCGTGGAATGCACTCATTTCAGATAAAATAAAACGTTTTATTTTATCTAAAGAATTAAACTTTATTTTGCAAATAGGTAGGTACTTATTAAACTTTTATTGGTTATATATAACCAATAAAATAAACATCTTACATTTCTTGCAAATTCATTAGTACCTGTTAACCTCCATCACTCCGACACTGGCAACCTTATTTAGGGATTAGTAACCCTCACAACTATTGTATTCTATTCTGCTCCAACCTTTATACCTGGTGGTCATACTCAATTTAAAATTGTTTTCCTATATACTTCTGTAAACTTGTTGACAAATATCTGTTTTTCATTGAGTCACCCGTATCAACAGTTTAGGGATTTGCATACATAATGTATTGTTTTATTACTCTCTCATACATAAAAATACACTATAGGTATACGACTAACAAATAAAAAGAAGAACGACTGGGTAAGATCAAAAACAAAATTGTAGATATCACAACAAAAATTGGCAAACTCAAATGGAGCTTCGCAGGTCATACTGCTAGACAAGAAGACCAACGTTGAAATGCCAAAATACAACATTGGAGACCTGAAAAAGTAGACGACCAAGAGGAACACCACAGATAAGACAGATAAGATGGTTTAATAACATCAAAAATATAGCCAGAACAAATTGAAAGCTCGGGATAGAGATTGATGAAAGGAGTTGGGCGAGGCCTATTTTCAAAAATAGGCGATATGAGGCTAAGAAATTAGTGTTTAGGGGTTCTGTCACACCATTAAATCAGAGTATGGATATTTCTCCATTATAGTTAGATGAAGCATACGTGAGTTTTGCTGTTAGATAATATGCAGTATTTGTAATGTACAGGATCTTCCCGGTCTAAAACCACTTTGTTCTTGGATGAGCTTTTAGTCTATTCTCGATGAAATCTTAATTAGGATCATGCCTTCCCAAAAAAGCCAACGCTAAAAAAATGTAAAGAAACATAGATTAATTAGTTTGACGAGCCATGTATTTAAAGTACTTCTTACTATCATTCACTCACGCATATACACCAAATTAGAAGAACACTTAAGAGAAGTTCAATTTGGATTCAGAACAGGTCCAAGAACGAGCACCAGGGATGCCATATGTATGCAAAAGTATCAGGACTTGGTGGTAAAGATATAACACTAATTCCACTTATCTCCAACAAAATGCAAGAGTGCGGTTCGAAAATAACTGTTCGAGATCTTTACAGTGGGAAAGGGAGTTAAACATGGTTGCGTACTGTCACCAGCATTATTTAATATATACTATGAAAACAGTTTTAGAGAAGCTTTGAACGAATCGGAAAATGGTATTACAGTAAACGGCTAACTTATAAACAATATTAGATATGCAGACGATACCGTATTGCTGGTATATAGTGCGCAGGGATTCCAAAGGATAATAGATAATGTAAAATCATGTAACAAAATCGGCCTGAAACTAAAATCAACCAATGTTGATGATTGGTAAATAAAATGAAAAAGTTTTACACTTTTTATTTTAGTTTTGAAATGACAAAAATGTAGAGCAATCGCAGAACAGTTATTTACAACTGATTACAGTACTAATTAACCACATGTTCATGCTTCAAAGACTCTATAAAAAGTAGAAAAACATCAGCATGAATACCCAAATTACAATAAATGATACACCGTTAGAAAGAGTGGAGAAAATATGCTATTTGGGATGCAATATTAAGGATACCTGGGGTCATAGCTACGAAAAAAACTCGTATCGAAGATGCCAGGGAGCCCTTTAAGATTCCAGACAGCTGAAGTCTTACAGAAGATGCGAATAAACGGTTAGAGGCCTTTGAAATGGGGTGCTACCGACGTGTGTTAAGGGTCTAGATATACACCAGACAACTAACATAACTGTTCTAAAGAGGCTAAGAAAAGTCAAAAAAATTATGAACACCGTAAAGAACAGAAAACTGACTTCCTTCAGCCACATTATGCGTAACAGTAAATACCAACTTCTACAGTTAATTCTACAAAACAACATTAAGGGCGAAAGAGCCCTGGGCGTAGCTATATAAGGACCTTAGAGGACAAGGGGTCTAAGTAACATTTTTGAAAAAAATGAGTTAGGTACATGAATGAGTTGTGAAAATACTAATCTATTTGGTGGTGAATAGATACAAGTGATTGTTTTAATAGGTGCTGACATCTAGCGTAGTACCCCTTAATCCACTGAGTATTAATAAGTTCAAACTTGGAACGCTAGGGCCCAAAAGCACTTAGATCCCTTTAACACGAATCTACAAACCATCACAGTTTAGTTGTAGTTGACATAAGTGTTATTAAGAACAATTTTGATCATATTTTTTTGTACATGGTTACATTATAAGTTATTTTACAAGGACAACAAGACAAGGGTCAAAAAACGTGAATATAATCAACGGTGTAGTTCATTGCAGGAAAGATTTCTACGAACAGAGGGAATCAATATTTTAAATAGTGGACTAGGTAGTGGAGCTTCAGACATCGTTTTAAATGGTGCCTTAGAATTGCAGCCTGTCATGAGGAAGAAAGATCATGTAACTATAACTTGGCTGGTCATAGAGTTAGTAACTCAAAGATAACTAAACCCAGGCTTGAATGTGTAAATTATGTGAAAACTGTACAAAAAATTTTGTAGAGAAGAAAAAAATGTGGAACTTGAAAAAAAAAGCCTTTACAGATTTATATTCAAAACAAAATTCAATCTAAGATTCCACAGACTTCACACCGACACCTGTGTCACTGATGACAAGTTACAAATGAAAATTAGCCACGGCACGACTGGTGAGAAGCAAACAGCTGAAGTTGAAAAAGAACTTCATTTAAGGAAGGCAGAGGCAGCTAAAGAAGCTAAAAAGCAAAAGAAAGTGCAAAATATTAAAGAATGACAGAAGTCAAGTTGCGATATGCTTTGATTTGCAAAAGATGATGCCGACACCTTGACAAATTCAAAAGCCTATTATTTGCGCCAACTCTGGACGTACAATTTGAATATTCACAACCTAACAAGTGAAACCGCCCACATGTACATGTGGCACGAAGGACAGGCAGGTAGGGCCTGCCAGGAGATAGACCGACTGTATAACACATGTCTGCGTTCAGTGACAACTGTGGAGGGCAAAACAAAAGTCACCTAATTGTCAAATTTTTGGCTTTATATTGTTAAGAATACTCAAATTGAAACTGATAATCACCACTTTTAGTCGCTGACATTCTTACAATCAATGTGATCAAGATTTTGAATCATAGAAATTAAAAAGAAGAGAACCAACGTCATATCTGTGTACCAGAAGCTGGATAAATCGGGCTGCCTCAGCAAGTAAATGGATGCAGACTTTATTGATCTTCAATTACTAAATCAGTACTTCCAGAAAAATGTGCCAGAGATACGAGGAATGCAGATACTGCATTATGAAAAGAAAAACCAAGACACTCTTTTTTATGAGACAACATTAGCATAGGGTATTATGCCTTACGAAAAATTGTCAATGAAGAAACAACGAGCAGGTATAATTCCCTATCAGCTTCTCATGTTTCAACCGGTAATTAAGAAGCCAAGCTTAAATACAAAAAGTATGAAGATCTATGAAACTCTTGCAATTCTTCACCGATATACCAATTTTACCAAGCCTACCTCATGAAACAATGACTGGAAAGCCTTTAGCTACAGGTACTTTTGTAGGCAATGAAAATGATGATAATCACTTTGGTAACAACGTTTATGACACAAATGACAGCAATTAAATCGTTTTCAAGTGCCAACATCTAATATTTTCTGATTTAATACTATCATGTAAAAATAACATACAAAATAATTTTTTCAATAATAATAAAACCACTTATGTATTTTGTGCACATTGAGCATTTTCATTCTCACAAAATTAATGAGAGGTAAAGAGATCCATGTGCGCACCTTCAATTTTTTTTATACATAAAACAATAACCGAATATTGTAATACTTTCTGCTATTGGCAATAACAACCCAAAGACCATATATCATTCTCTTCTTCTAACATGGTCAAAATAATGCAATTTTAAATTTCCCTCTTACAATAATCTTCCGACTTGACTTAAGTTTTCTCAAAATGTTGATTTTGTTACTTAGACCCCTTGACTTCTAGGGGACTTCTAGCATATATTATATCCTAGCTGGCTAATCTTAGGAAATAACTATTGGAAATAAATGTTGCCGTATGTCCATGCTTTCTGTATGCCCACTCTTTCTGTTCAAACTTTTTGATTTGCTCTGTACGCAGGTCATCAATATTAAGAATTTTGTTTGTTTTGCATGAGTTGAATAGCTGATTCAAACTTCAAGGTGATACAATTACCAATATGTGTAATTTTAATACGTCTTAATTAAACAACAGCAACAAGAAAATATCAATACAAATAAATTAACAAAAAATAAAATCTGGTGAAATAAAATCGAAAATTGCAACGTTATGTCACACTAATATGGCGTATTGTACTGATTTATATTGTAACATGTAAAAATATTTACTGTATTACTGAAACCGTATATTTTTATTAAAGTGTATTAATATTTTTCAGAATCAACACACCAAGCTGGTTCTTCGATAAAAGCTTCGACAGCCATCTTAAGTATAGCGCTGATTTTTACCTTCTACATTAGGCACTGAAGAGGCTATCTAACAACAATGTACAACTGAATATCTTCCATGCACTGGTAGCTTAAATACAAGAGAAAAACCAAAGTATTTGACTATTTCTAGAATAAGTAAATTATGACCTTTTGTTGATAGGCCAAAACTTTTTAGTACTTACATTAGAACCAAAACTATATTATTAAAATGCATACGGGTTTTAAATTTTTTAATGCTGTAATTTTCACAATTTTTTGTATAAAATTTATTTTTGAAAATTTTTGGTTTAATGTACGCTCCTGCTGGCCTTAATTTCATCTTAAATTCGAGCTATATATCTTTAGCTTCATTTTTTATTTCTAAACTACACCCCTGTATATAATTCCTTTATTTTGTGTTCATTTGTAACAATTATGTTTTGTTTATCATGGAAATACGCTATGCTGAAAACTGGTAGCACTGTCTTAAAATTGCTCCAGTTTTTAGTACGCTTTTCTTCTGTGATTTAGCTGTTATAAAAATACCCATGTTAATGAAAAAATGTTTAGAAATTTTCAGATATATGAACACTTCCAATATTTGAACTGTTATTGCACAGAGTTGCTATCTCAAAGAAAGCAAACATGTACCTAACTGCTGTGATTCTTTAATAAATATAGAATATATCTTCAACATTTAAATATAGACTATCTCTAGAGCAAATTGTGGAAACTAAACATTTTGAGATGTAATATAACCACTTAATATATAACACTCCATTTTATAACTATATACCTTTAATATGTAACCTTCACGTACTTGCAACACAACTTGCTAAGGATAACTTGTTAAAACATAAAGTGAGAATGATTGAGAAATTGAAAGTACAAGTACAAGTAGTAACGAGTGGCTTAATACTTCGAACATATGGGGACAAGAATAGGTACTAAAAGGCAGTAAATATGAAATTTTAAGTCCTAGTCTGAGGTAGTAGCTCCCTGATCAGGTAGATTACATTTCTTCATGTGTGTCTATCTTCGGTCATCGGTAATTATTTATCTAGCTCATTTTTTGCGTTTTCTTCTAGGAACGCGATAATCAGCGACACTTACTGTTTCAGACAGTTGCTTTCTGATGACAGTCCGTTATACTATACACTTAGACAAGTTTTGCCAGGCTCAGGATCGGTCTGAACCTAGAAATAACATATTTGTGAGCCTTTGAGCTTTCTCATTTATAATTATTAATATGCAGGGCCCATCTTAGTTAATGTACTTCTTTGTTCTTTACATACCTGTACAACATTCTGTTAAACTATCACTTCTCATATTTAATGACGGGCTTTGGTTTGTATTACCTTTGATACTGGAGTATTCAATAACCAAGACACGCACGCGCTATACATTACGTTTTTTTGTGTGTTGGTAGTATATTTTGGATAGGTTATGTTAAACAGGCTCTATTTGAAGGTCTTTTGCATAAAACTTCGTTTTGATTCTGAAATTGTTTTCTTGTAGTAAGTTAAATATTGTGTTTATATGAAATTAAGGCTTAAGGCGCGCCGCACATTCAGACGCAGGTGACGCAGGCAACGCAGCGTAGGACAGCACAGGTTTCTGTTTTCCGTTTAATTACATTACCCCGCGCGAATTGGAACGCAGGGCAGGGCAGCACAGAACTGTGTTTAAGAAAACCTGCCAGCGCAGTCGTCCGGACACAGATTCCTGTGCCACGTGCGGAGCAGTTTGTTTGTTTGTAGTAAAATTTTGTGTAGTTATATTCGAAATGAATGAACAATTAATCGAATTGGTGAGAAGCCAGAGAATTCTTTACGATATCAACGATCCCAATTATTTAAATTAAATAAGTAATTTACAAGAAGATAGTGAAAATGAATACCCACAACAAGAAGACTCCATAGTTGATCCAGAGAGTGAAATTTTTGACGAGGTGACCAGCGACATTCGACATGATTCCGAAGAAATCCAGAGTGTTAAAAATGACATTGCTAATGAGCCGTCTACGTCTGGTATTGTTATACAAAAAAATAACGAAAAAGAAAATACCAAACGTAAGGCATCTGAAGACCAATCAATCACAACCAAAGCAGCTAAAAATAAGAAACCTAAAAATGATGATATATAGGAAGTAATAAAGCAGTCAATTATGCAACGTCAAAAAAGGGCCGAAGAAAGAGCAGTTGAAAGGGCAGCACAGAAGCCTTTGGATGATGATCTCTATCATTTTTATATGTCAATGTACAAAATAACCAAAAAATGCCTCCAAAATTTCAACATCGTGCAAGAAATGATGTGTTCCAAGCTATATTGCAGCTCGAAGCTGCATATCTAGAAATTCATGATCCCAGTCAAGAAAACTACACTCATAGTGAACAAAGAGTTTTTACAAGTACATATGTTTATACCCATATTCAGCAGCCCCATTACTCGTCAACACCTCTTCCATCACCAAGTTCCAGTCACAGTAGCCAGCATACTGAGAATCAACATTGTAATTATCCTCTAGCTCCTATTCCCAACAACTCTTTTTTATGCTCAAATGATTACAACTCTAGAAGCACCAGTAATTATTCATCTATTACACTCACCCCCAGGTTGTCTGCTGAGATATCTCCTCAAACCGTTGATACTGGTAATATTCGTAATTTTGTGGAAAATTATAAAGTATAGAATTATGATTGTTTAAAATGATATTTTTGTATTTTTTAATAAAACAAAATTAATAAAAATAATACCTTAAAAAACAGCTAGTTTTTCTTTGGTTCCTATTGGTTTTTGGGCATTACAACCATCTGAATAAATACTGTTTTCTATTATATTATGTACTTCATCAACTTGTTTTCTGCTTAACCGAAAATAATTTAAATAACGAGACTCAGAGAATTCTGATGATAGTGCTAATTCCCCATGAGTATTTCTCTTTTTCATATAGTTGCTTTTCCAAAATGATTTTTTCTCTTTGACATGTTGAATAATAAAACTGTTTCTTCAAATTCTGTGTCTGACTCTAATTCGGAACTCTCCAGAAATAACGCCATTATTTAAATTATAAAATTCTCTTTCTATGTTCATATAATATATTCGATATTCGCACCTCAAAATTTTCGAGAAGACTGCTTCCAAATATGCGCTCACACTGCGTGACACGTATATTTTCTGACCTGTGTAGCCTGCCCTGCACTGCGTCACCTGTGTCACCTACGTCCCAATGTGCTGCTTACTTAACGCTTGATTTCCACCCCGGAAATCGGTTTTCAAAAAGATTCTTAAAAAATTTTGTTGAAAGACAACCCCAACTTGAACAGTTAACAAACAGTTTTTTCAACAAAATTCTTAAATAACCTTTTTGATAACGATTTCAGGAATGAAAACCGAAATGTCAAATTTTAGTAAGTCAAAATATAATTTTAATTACAAGCAATTGTTGTTTAATCCCTAATTAACACCCTTTTGTTTTAGTATATAATGTTAAACCTTTCGTCGACAACTGCTTCGTACATTGGCGTCATAGGAATGATGAATTATTGAGTAAAAAACTGAAATTTATTATAATGAGGCAAATTTGTTTAAACAGCTATCTAATTTTTTCACACTGTAATTTTGCCACATTTTTCTCTGAGCGTATACAGGGTGGTCCTTAACTAATTGTATTAAAAAGAACACTGTAGATTATACACTTTAAAATATTACGATTTAAGCAACTTGCTTTAATAAAATGTTGATATTAAAAAAGATACAGGGTGTTGAAGTGGAAATTTAAAATTTTCTTTTTCGCTATAACTTTCATGTTTTGTAAACATTTATGTATAAAAATGAAAGGCAATGAAAGAAAAATAGATAAAAACATGAATATTTCTGAATTTTGTTATAAAATACCTTTTAATAAAGTCAACAGTTAACGAAATATTAAATAAAATAAATATATCAGCAGGATAATTAATAATAGGATTTGATAAAATAACAGAATAATTGGATTTTACATCAAACATTTTACGTTTTGTATTAAATTAAAGTTCATAATCAAAACATTTTATTTACAAACCAAATTAAAAAATAGTTAAACTAAATAACATTAAACTTTTTGTCAAAGTAAGTGTTTGATATGTCCACCACTGTCTTTAATTCATTTCTCAATACATTCCATAAAATAACGTCTCATATTAAATAGCATCATTGGTTCTAAAGAAACTGCTGCAGTATTTATTATGATTATTTTAAGTATAATAATAAGAAATTTTTTGAAATTTTTATGAATTAAATAATTATATTATCTCACCACAAGAATATGACTACTACGAACAATCCAACGTTCAGGAAAGTTGTATTTAAATACCGTGTCACTCCGCTTTCTCTATAATGCAATGGTGTACCATCTGGTAGAAACCACGTATTTCGCGTTAAGTTTGATGACAATCATTTTATAAAAAATGTAAATAAATATTACCATTCAAATTGAAAGTTAATTCGCATATCCGTAAAATATCATTCAAAATTCATATTTAAAATGCATGTCTTAGGGTTTGGAGCCATTGGTAAATTTTTTTTACGGATATGCGAAATACCTTGCAATTTGAATGACGAGATTTATTTACATTTTTTATAAAATTATTATATTGCTTTATTGGAAGAATTGTCATGAAACTTAAGGCGAAATAATATGTGGTTTCTACAAGATGGTACACCATTACATTACAGAAAAAGCGGAGTGAGACAGTATTTAAATACAACTTTCCTGAACGTTGGATTGTTCGTGGTAGTGCATATTCTTGTGGTGAGATATTATATATTTATTATTATACTTATAACACTTATAATAAATACTGCAGCAGCTTCTTTAGAACCAATGATGACATTTATGGAATGTATTAGAGACAATAAATTAAAGAAAATGGTGGACATATTGAATACTTACTTTGAGAAAAGTTTATTGTCATTTAGTTTAACTATTTCTTAATTGGGTTTGTAAATAAAATGTTTTGATTATGACTTTAATACAAAACGTAAAATGTTTGATGTAAAATCAAATTGTTCTGTTAT